AAAAAAAAAAAAAAAAAAAAAAAAAAAAAAAAAAAAAAAAAAAAAAAAAAAAACCAGAGGAAACAGAGGAAATAGGAAGCGGGCGGGGGAGATATTAGCGAAAGATAACTCCCGTTATGGGTAAATATCTATCATAGCATGCCAGGAGCATTAAGGATGCAAGACAAGCAAAGCGAGGTCTGTTACCCCGGTTGGAAATCACGATCGACATTGTCATGAATCGTGCTGCTTGGAGTTAAGCTCTGAACAGGCGTCATGGTGTCCGAAAGCCGTCGACTCTCGGTAGCGATACGAACACTCCCGTGGGAACCCTTGATCAAGTGGCCACTGTCAACCCGATCTTGAATCATCTCATTGAGAATTCGTGACATTTCATCATCCATATTTTTCGTCCCATTTAGTTCGTCCTCCTTGTGAGGCGGAAGGATACTAGCCACATGGTCACTAGCTAGCGAGTCGCTCACATCAGGATCGGCACTTCGATACTCACCCTTTTCCTTGAGGTCTGTATCGATAGCGATATGCGCAAGGTCCCGATGCCGAGCAGCAGAACGGAGCGCAGCAAGCATTCGATCCTTATCGTCTAATTGTTGCCGAAGTTCGTTGATTTCCATATCCTTCTCACGTAGCAAGGCCACCATATCTGGATTTTCAGAGGTTGCGCTCCCAGCTTTAACGCCTATTGACATTCGTGAATGGCTGGACCGGCGAGCCTGCAGTAGGCGTCTCTCTAGAGTCGAGATATACCGATTTTTGTCACTCAAATCGGCCTGAAGGGCTACAATTTGCCTTTGAGCGCTTGCTTTTCCGTCCGCAAATTCCCCAACGATATCTTCATCCTCATCATTGCCAAATGAACCACTCGAAAAACGTAAAGCTTCGTTGCTGTTGACGGAGAGAAATGATGCAGGCCGGACAGACGATGTCCCATACGCACCCAATGTTGTCTGACTGACTGAAGAGCGTAGAGATCGAGCCACCGATTCGGCAGCAGACATTCTTGATAGTCGACCAAGAGTAGACATCGTTCCCTGGCTGTTCACACCAGTGGATTTGGAGCAAAGAATGAGCCGATTGAGATGTTCTATGCGCTCTTTAAGAGCGGTTCGAGCTAATTGCATTTCCAACATTTGCTCTTCGTGGCGAGCCTGTGCCTCCTTTTCTAGTTGCTGCTCTTCCAATTTCAACTCTTTTTCGGCTTGTGCTTTTGTTTGGCTTTCGAGCTGGCTTCGAAGGGCCTGAATCTCCACTCGGTAGCGTTCTAGAAGCACACGACTCCCTGCATCACTGCTACCACTACCGAACGCTTCTTCCGCCCGTTTGGCGTGGCTGACAATATTGTTTTTGGCTCGCGCAGCAAATTTCAAAGTATTGAGTGTTTCGCCAGAGTTCGAATTGCCCGTTATGCCAAGATGAACAGTGCAAAGAATGCTGACTAGTGAATTCCCTAACAAAGCTGATTGTAACAGCCTCGTGAGCTTGCTGTCACGATACGGCAGGTGCCTGCCCTCGCGATCAGTCGGGTTACCAGCTTTGTCCTTAGTTTCCGAAAGCCTGGAAATGATAGTACCAAGGGTAAGTAAGCTTTTATTTATGTGAGCACCTTCTGTGCGCCGTTCTTTGTCGTCAGCTGCACGTTCTGATCCAGCTAAGTCTATCAAGCTAAGCGTGGATACTCTGACCCCTCCCGGGGCTATGCCCGATCGCCTGTCCTGAGTGGCGCCCGTGGGCACTCGTTCCCTACTCTCAACAACGATTTGGACCACTGCATGACTTCGGGAGCTGCGAGCATTGAACTGCGTGCTGCCAGTTCTTCTTGCATGGTCACCCCTCGCAATTACACGAAGAAGTTGTGTCGGGCTCTGTACGATCTCTTCCTTCAGTGGAGTCGCATACACGCCTCGTTTGCTATCTTCGCGCAGCTTTATCTCTTCCTGCTGGAGGGGCAAACCACTGCCAGAAGCAGAGGCTGAGAGTAGGTCATGGATCTTCTCGTTGTAGATCTCAAGATAGCTAACGCGAAGCAGGAATTCTCGATGCGGAGTCTCCCTGATGAAAGAAAATATGTCGGTTATTGCCAATGGGATCACCCCTGGAGAGGTAGCAGTTCCCTGCATTGAGAATGTTTTACCGGTGCCAGTCATGCCGTATGCAAAGACGGTACCATGATAACCTTCCATTACCCTTCTCACGAGGCGTTTTGCCGCGGAGTCATAGACTTTGGCATTATGCTCATTGGGAGAGAAGACGTTATCTGATATACAAGAGTAAGCTTTTCTGCACAAGGATTGATTGTGGGGCTATTGTTACCATAATAATAATCGCCTCCTTCCTTTCCGCTAAACGTGATAAGGCTACGACGTGCATCCACTGCCCATTCGCTGTTGGTTTTTGATATCTCGGTGCCGTGTACATCAGGGCGCACTCGGACGCTAACTATAACATTACCTTTGGCCTCCTTAGGCTTCGAATGAGGCCTGGAGGCACCCGTTACATCATCTGCGTCCTCAAAAGTGGTCGCGCTTGTCGAGTATGACCCTTGAGCGGAAGAGCTCCGGCTTTGCGATGGTGAAGCCTCTGGATCTCGGGCCTCTGCACCGATAATTGATTTATTATCCCCACTATTTAGCAAGGACGGGGTCTGTGAACTTCGATAGCTGCTGCTGGTCCCCACGCTTAACCTGGAGTTCCGTTTGACCTTCACACTGCCAGAGGAGCGAAGGCTCTGAACACCTGATATTGATGATGCGGTGGAAGGACGGCTTCCTGTCTTCGGTGGTTGGGGAAATGCCGCAATACTAATAGTCCTGCGTAGCGATTTATCGGGACTGCTTGGAGTTCGACCAGCGGATATTGACCTGGAGGAGCTCAGGTTGGAAGCCGAGTTGGACAGTGCAGTCTTACTAAGTGATGGCCTTGGGCTAGGAGAGGCACGTATTTTGGAAGAAATCTGAGACGGAGAAGGCGCCCTCGCATGGTCGGATGAGACTGGTAAACTCTTTCTTGATTTCGGTGCTGAGAGAGGGGGTAAGGACCCCGTCGGAGGATTCGCGGCAGGCCGCGACGGTTGGGGTAACGTAGACATGGAGGCGTAGATTTCGCACAAGTACTCCAATCACTAGTATCAGGCAAGCCTAGCTGGGGCTGTCCGATTATGACGGTTTATGTTGGAGAACAACTTACGCGGCGGCCATACGCGGAGGCTTGAGGGTAATGCGTTTCGCTGCTGAATCTCTTGATTTTGCAGAGCAGGCCTCTGATAATTGGAACGTTAGGATTAGCATCTGATAGTAGTGGTGCATAAGCTATATTGTGGGAATATGAAGTCGAGACCTCAACCTAGACATCAGCCAAGTATGATGATGGATGTACCTCCAAGGAACATTGCCAATCTTGGCGGTCCTCCCCGCGCACGGGTGGTTCTTCGTCCCGCTATATACAGTACCGCAGCAGAAAAGTACACGAGAAATAGATATGGGAAATAGTGGAATAAACTATAGCTAAAGGCTTTTGAGGGCGAAAACTCACAGTAAATGTTAGGGTCGATTTTCGTAAAGGCCCCGTTGGTGTTTTTGGATTTGGCCGAAATCTCCGCACTCCAAACCCTTACAAGGATCACGGTCTAGAAATTCAAATTATTGAAACTGTTGTCGCCGCCGCCGTTCCGCTCTCTGCCACTGTTGGCTGTGCTCTTATATGCGACGTATGTTAACAGTGATTCAAGATCAGCTTGGAGGCAAAACGAACGGATTTAAGATTCTGCTTGGCCAAGTGTGACCAGATTGATAGGCCCGATAGGTGCGCCGTAACAGCACCAACCGGTCCCTGTGTTTGCGGACTTGCCCGCGAGGAGTTGGTTCAGGGAAAGAATTCAGCGAGAGTTGTTATCGTTCTTGTTGGTTGTTTAATCGCGTCTTTGAGGGAGCGGGACGGCAGATAAGCGGCCCCTGTTGAAGGGGGATTGAACGTGGTCCTCTTTCTTCCAGTTTTTCTTCGGCTCCCCTTAGTAGCTGGAGGGGGATGCAGGAAAGAATAGCCTTGGGCCAAATATGCAAAATTGATTGAAGTTCGTCTTAGTATTATATGATCAACTTAATTATAGTGAAATGATAGTCGTTTGAAAGGTGACAACCCTCAAGAGGTAGTTGGGACTTGTTTATCTCTTGATCTTACTGTTAGTTCGAATAGCTGTAATACCTGTGGTGGCTATACTCCGGAGTAAGTACAGAGTACACCTACCAAGTAATTACTTTGTTGCGGTTCTTTGGTAGGTACTGCAGTCAAGTGCCTAACGCACTAGTAGTACTACTAGCCGGCGAGGCTATCATTGTCCAATGTTGTTTGTTCCTGGTGTTCCACGTAACATTACAAAATACTAGAATTGGTTCCTCTTCCTTCAACCCTGTCTTGAATCTCCTCTGGAGTAGTCGCCTTGCATAATGTTCGAGGTCAATTTTAATATGGATGGGCCATGGGCAATATGAAGGAGTGCTTGTCTTTCAAGACTGGCTTTCTTTAGTCGCGAACCGGAAGTTGTCCAGACAGAACCACATCCATTACTCACGGAGTAAGTAAACTCTCAAGTAACCAGGCGACTTCCTACTGAGAAATTTTACCGTACATACACGAATACATACTAGCCCTGGTGTAACAAATTAATGAAATTTAAGATTATGATGATGCGCCTGCTGGGGCTCTGGGGCACAAGAAACCATGGGCTAAGACACTTAGTGCAAGGAAACGGGAAAAAGGGGACCAATAAACGCGTAATATGCTGGTGCGAAGGGGAGTCACTCACCCAAGTGCCTAAGCTAGTAGTTTAGTGGTGCTTCCACTTTCCCAAGTCGAGTGATACATTATACAGGTTACGGAGACCCTTATTCATCCACACACGGGATTGACACACCTGGGCAGCCGGGTCTGGAGTACAATAGACCAGTGGTACCTTACCTACTAGTTTTGAGGCCAATCCTCGACAGATTGAAGAGAACTTTTGGCGGAGCATTCATGAGTCTAATAGATAGTGCCGATAAGGAACAAAAAACGAGTTTTATGGGAATTACGAACCCAGGCTTAGGGTGTACTGTCTAGATGGCTCTAGACTAGGCTTATTTGAGATTGTGGCCGATGGTCCCGTCTATATGCCCGGCGACTAACTACTACGTAGATGATAAAACGATGGCATATCACCTGGTGTAATTTCAAGAGAATGAGCAAAACTCGTTTATATCGTGCTGAATCCGATGGCAGCTTCAGTCAGATGAAGTAGATCCGCTATTGCTTCGCGTTAAAATCTAATTGTCGGGCAGCATTCTTGAATGTATTATCGTCGATGTCTCCACCTCTTCTCGTCAAATCGTTGCCCATTTTCTGGATTCCATCCGTTTTTTTGGGGAGATCTTCCTTATTTGTCGGTCTGGGCTCAGTGAACCACCAGTTGTGTTGCAAAACTTGACGTGCCGTACTCCGTTTTCTTGGATCCAATGTACACATTGACATGAGCAAATCTGCGCCGACAGGACCGGCAGTTGGGAACTGTCTGAAGAAGAATTCACGACCCTGTATAGAAACAATGTGGTTTTTATCTGCGGGTATATAATTGGGCAGCCTAGTGACTCCTGGCCAGTTGTCTTCAGTGGGCGTGCCAAATGCTTCGCAAATTTTGGATATCTGGTCGAGATCAGAACTCCCCGCGACGAACGGTACTCGCAAGAGGAGCTCCGCAAAAACCATTCCCATGGACCAGACGTCTACAGCGCCCGAGTATTGTCGTGCTCCATAAAGCAATTCAGGCGGCCGATACCAGCGTGTAATAACTTGGTGTGTCATATTCAAGTAAGGGTCAGCGAATGATCTAGCTAAGCCGAAATCTGCTAGCTTCACCTCCCCATCGGCAGCAATGAGGAGATTGTTAGGTTTAATATCTCGATGGAGAATAAAATTTTCGTGGCAGAACCAGACACCTCTAGCAAGCATTCCCATCCACGCCTTAACATCAGCTGCGCCGTAGTGAATATTTCCGTCTTTAATGAGCATCTCAAGGTCACCACGTGGCAAATACTCTAGAACCAGGTTGAGATTTTGGTCCTTGGAGGAGAAGACATCATGGAGCGCTATGATATTTGAATGCGACAGTTCTTGTAAATATTTTACTTCCCGGATTGCATCCATGGAAAGCCCATCTTTGTATTCGGCATTAACTTTGATCTTCTTGATTGCCACGAAGGACGAAGGATCGACGCGGATATGACCAAGGTATACGACAGCATAGGTTCCTTCCCCTAGCTTCTTGTCTGTTGACTTGTTCAGTAGTGCCATAAGACATTTGATGGGAATCATAAGCATGAATGAAGAAGGGCGATATATCTCACCTTTGATATATTTATGCCGCACATCGTCATTTAATTGTTCAGTTAGTTCACGGTCTGTACTGTGCGTGATAGCAGGCGAAGATGTATTGCCCTGGGAATTGGCTGAGCTCTGAGCAGCTCTCAACTTAACTGCGGTGTCGGAAGCTGCCGTCGCGGTTGATGGAGACTGGGGTGGTAAAGGTGAAATTGCCATGGTTTGAAGATTGATGGGATAGTCAAGTTATATTTCTGACTGTGCCCGTAGGTTATAACTCGGGAGACAGCGCTAAACTGAGAAGGTATAGAATAAAGTGCCGACCATAGAGAGTTGTTCTCTGATAGCTTTAGTATCAGCCGAATTTTGTTGTGCTGCGTAAATTTAGCATTACAGTGCCTTTTGTTTTGTTTTGTTTTGCATTATTGCCCTACTCATTCACAGCAATATATGCTTCTTGATGCCAGTGTGCTGTGGTGGCGCTTACTATAACCATGTAGGCATGCATAAATAACCAAGTCTCGGAGTTTTGTTGATCCTGAAAATGCGGCTGTGACCAAAATTTCTCTTACCGCGGACAATGTCACTACCAATCAATGAGTTCAACTGAGAAACTCAACTTTCGTTCTTTTCTTGATTTAGCAAAGGCTATCTGGCTTCCATTGCCTACACTCTGATCTCTTCCTGTGTAATCTTGACCCTACCAACCAGTGGAAAAGATCAACGCGACCGATGATGGCGATGCGTAGCTCGTTTCTCCTATCTCCACGACTCATCAGACCTCTGGCCATTAGCAAACAATGTGTGCGATGCTTCCATAAACACTCCTCTACGCCTTCTGTGCCTTCGCCAACACCATTCGTCCCCGACGTCGAAACATTTCTTACGTTGATTGGCCGTGGCATGACTAAACATGCAAGCAAGCTTCCTTCATGGGAGAAGCTGTTTACTCTTAGCTCTACTGAGCTCCGAGATATTGGCATTGAGCCGACTCGTCAACGGCGTTACCTGCTCCGGAAAAGGGAGAAATTCAGAAACGGAGTCTTTGGGCCGGGTGGTGACCTAGAACATGTTGTTGATGGTACAGCCCAATTGCGCGTAGTTGAGGTTCCATTGGCGCCAAGGGATACACCAACGGACAATCAAGCCTCAGGCACCTCCACCTCATCGGCGACGCTCTCTCCAGGTATGAGGAAAGTGATTGTCAACCTACCACCTGATGCTTCCGAGTATACACACGACCCATCGAAACCACTCAAAAAGTTCGCGCACATGAAGATCCATCGTGGCTCCATGCTTAGCGGGCCATTCTTACAACCAATCAAAGGCACAGATAATTGCGCAGCTCTAATAAAAGTCCAGGATGGCATGTGGGAGGACAAGTTGGGACACAAGGTGGATGGTGGTGAAAGGAGACGTGCCGAGGTTAGGGCTAGAAAGAGGAGTGAGGAAAGGAGGAAGGGGCAAGCATAAACTCATGGATTTTTGAGAACTGCGGCGAGTAATTGTCTTACTGTATAATAGTTTACCGTACTTTTGGGGGGTTTGAATCGCAATACATAAACATCACTACACTAAGAACTATACTACAGGAGTCCACAATCTCTGGCACTGTAGAACTGGACACATTGATCCGTGGGCGTTCTAAGGCGGCATCTTCCAATTGTCAGGTTTAGGTCATAACGTTATATTAAAAATAATATGATGGGAAAATGGGGCTTCCTGAAAGTTGGCCCCCGATATGCAATGCGCAAATAATTTACATAGAAATAGATCGTTCGGCGCCATCATACATGTTTGAACAAGAGGCCATAATACCAACGTTTGAAGCGTCCCTCCACCTTCTTTTGTCTTCTAAGCACTTTTGGAATTATCTTCCACAAAACACGAGAAATATACCCATGGAAATTGTATATTGTAAAGGTCGAGGGAGCACTATGCCTTGGGGACGGGCTCGCGCTTCTCAAATTGTATCACTGAGTTGCCCAAAGGCTTAGAAAATAAGGACTATAATTCGGTTAGTGAGATACTCTATAGGTTCCATAGGTAGCACCGCTTACTGAGTAGTCTGTGTCTGGGAGAGTTTCAACGCCTGGAAGATTGCTGAACTTGAACAGCCTGACTAGAGCCGCCGTAATCGCACCGAGCTGGACGTAAGCGAACTGTTCGCCAATGCATCTATGCCGCCCGGCGCCGAACGGAAGATATGGGCTGTTGGTTCCTTTAGTAACCAAGCCGTAGCCATAGTCAACCTTTTCTTCATCCTCTGAGCTAGCAGCGATGGCCTCATCCCAGCGGTGGGGGTTCCATTCAAGCGGATCAGGGAAATGTTCTTCTGATCTTGCAGTGACACCAGGGGAGGAAAGGACATTGTGTGAAGTTGGGATCACGTAGGGGGTACCTTCTACTGGCATCGGATTCTTCACAGCTCGAATGATAGAGTGGATCGGTGCATGTATGCGAAGAGTTTCTTTGATGACCTTGGCGTGCAAGTCCAATTTCTGCAGGTTCTCATAAGTAAGTGGAGGCATATCATGTCCAAGGATGCGAAGTTGCTCCTGATAGAGTTCCTCTGTTATTTCAGGGGATGCTGCAAGATGCAGGACAATCCAAGCCGCAGTAGACGACGAAGAGTGCTGGCCGGCCATGAGTAAGGCGATCATCATGTGTGCAATTTCTTCGTCGGGGACAGGTGTTCCATCTTTGTACACGCACGACATAAGATTCCATACCATGTCCTCCGAATCTTTTTTGCTGCCAGCGTTACGGCGTTCCTTTATAATCTCCATGTATGTTTCAGTCATCCTTTTCTGGGCGGCATCACGCTTGCGATTATGGGGAAGAGGGGCCCATGGTAACATAAAGTTTATGGGGGCAAAACCCATGTCGAGATCATGATACAGTTCGGCAAACGTAGAGTCAAATCTGCTTCGGACTTCTTTCCCTTGAAGTGAACGTGAGGCGGTGTAGATAGTAATCTCAGCAATTGTTTTGCAAACATCGAAAACGCCTTTGTGGCCCTGGAATGCCGAGGACTTTTGTACGAAATCTTCCACTTCCTCTGTAATCAGACGAACGTACGAACGAAGTGCATCTGATGTAAGCCCAAATTTCACAAACTACAATCGTTAACAGACTGAATCAACGTTGCTATTATTGCTGTCAACTTTGCTTACCTTCTTCTGCTCCATAAGTTTAGCATTTGGGCAGTCGTATACCACATGACGCCCAAACACTGGAGTTGTAAGTGGGGAATAAACCTCTTCGGCGCACACATCTCGGAGTTTGCCATTCAGAATGAAATCATTCCCCTTGGTTCCTAGGTAGACGGTGGTCTTCTTACCAAGGAGGACGAATGTGAAGATATCGCCATACTGTGGTAGTAAGCATGTGAGCGAAATCAGTAAATACCGCAGAATTAGCGTACCTTTTTTCGGCAATTGAAGAAGAATCTGTATGGATCCATGCCATAGCTGATGGTGCTTCCAATAAAAGGGAACCAATGAAAGACCAAGGGGGGTTCCTTGTAATTTTTGAAGAGAAGTTGGCGTAAGACATTGATAATCACAGATACAACGAGCATGGATAGCAATGCCACACTGGTGAGCATCCATAGCGATGAATCTGAGCAGCGCTCACAAACACTGTCGAGAATGACAGATAGGAGGCCCATGATTGTGGAACAGTAGGTCACTAGGTAAACGAACGGGGGAATAACGACATGTAAAGGGAAAGCGTCTCGGACAGAGGCACCTTCCTTAGGCCTCTGGAAGAAATTCAGGTGGGTAGATATACCTGCGATGCTGAGAGTAATGGCCAATTCTGAGGGATAGACTAAGCTTTCGAGCGGGTGGGAAAAAGAAAAGTGTAAGTACGGAGTAGACTAGGTAGTACCTTTCGTTCTGGGACCTCGATCCGCCCGCCGCTGATTTTCTCCGGTCTAAGACTAAACCAACAAACAGTAAACTACATTTCCAGATACTACCCCTGGCGACTCAGGACCAGCGAATGACAACAACGCGGATTTCACATCACGCCACTTTAACCTGGTAGACACCTAAGGCACCTTTACACACGTATCTTCGATAACCGATCATCAACTACTGTACCAGTACTACGGATGGATACTAGTGTGTATTCATGGTTTTAGAAGATCTGACTGTTACAAACAGACCAGGACACAATGTAGAGAAGTATAAGGGAAGCAGGTGTGTTCCATAGTAGTATTATATTGTTGGTAATTATATTCTTAAAAGATCTATCGCCAACCTGTTCAAGATATCACTGGAAATAGTAATACTGAAGCCAATCCATAGATGCCTACACGAGCTTTCGTCGAGATCCGAACAAAGACAGCACCCATTTGAGAGTCAATCACCTGATGCCATTCGTGGCAACATTCTATGATATGCATGATATTAACTGGCAATTAGCATATAGATTTGAGTAATCGCATATCCAGCAGAATGTAGAATAATGTTAAAATCGACCTTAACGATACTCATCTTCCCGATTGTGGTGATACTCGTCGTTTGTTCCTGTCCCTAGAACTCTATAGCAGCATAGAATAATCTATAAAACCAGTACCCCACAGACGCCTAGCAATGTTTCATTTGTACTGACTGGCGGGATCTTCTTTGAACAACACTGGATCCCCACGCTCTCCAAGGTTGACAAAATCATTAGGGGCACTGTTTTGGTCAGGTGACACTTCACGTTTCTGGGCTTTGGCAGGCCTGTTGTGTACTCGTTTTCCGGCGTTATTTTTATGGAAAACTTTAATCGGAATAGCACCTTCCTCCAAGTGTTCACTGAAATGGACATCGTTGACACTGCTAAGGAGCGTGCGCTCCCGTGCGATTTTTCGTTTCGAGAAGTCCAGTTTTCCCAAAGCTCCAGTTAGCCCATCAGTGCTATCAGAAACACTAGGGTATTTCCCAGTAAGCCATGGATGTTCTAGGCATTCGTCCACTGTGATTCTCTTGTCGACATCAACGGTGAGCATTTTGTCTATGAGGTCTAGAGCCGGATCGCCCACAGAATCCCAGTAGGGTGATGGGTAATCAAAGCGACCCATCTTGATCTGCTGCGCTAAAGTGTACGGGCTCTCGGTAGTATAAAGCTCATCGGAGAAAGGAGGAAATCCACAAAGGCATATGTAGAGAACAACGCCAAGGGACCAGATATCCACAGCTTTCGTGTATCTTCGGCGGCGGGAATCTTGTAATATCTCTGGTGCCACGTCTACAACATAAGTATCAACAGTGCCATACCAGCCTTACTGGAACGACTTACAGCTTGGTGTTCCGCATCTATGGGGAAGGAACATTAGCTAGGATCCCTGCACGAAAAGGACACCGATGAAGAAAAGGAGGTAAAGGAAAGGGAAATATGATTGTATCATACAGTGTTGTTGTAAACGAGTCTTCCCCAATAATCTTCGCAAGGCCAAAATCACCGAGCTTCACAGTCAGCTCCTTGTCTGCAACAAGGATATTTTCAGGTTTTATGTCCCGATGAACGATTCCACGATCATGCTATTACCCAGATTAGCTGGTGGTACTGAACAATGGATAGCTTCATCACTACCAGATACTTCAACCCTTCGAAAAGCTGAACGAATAAATCGCGTGTTTCCGTCTCTGAAAACTTCTGCTTGCTAACGATCAAGTTGAAGAGCTCCCCTTCTGGAGCAAGTTCCAGAACGAGGTAAACACCATCACTCTCGTCGAAGGTGTCTTTAAGACATAGTAGATTTGGGTGGCTAACGCCCATCAACAGACCTATTTCTTGCTGTAAAGCGTCCACTTGAGACTTCTGCGAATCGCCGGGACGTTTCTCAAAAACCTTAACGGCATATTGCGCTCCTGTAGACCGTTCTGCACAGAGGTAGACAGTTGCAAAGTGGCCTTTCCCAAGTTGTTGAAGAAGTCTGTATTGCTGGCGGAACCCGCTTGTTTCCCTTGTGCGAGGGTACCTGAAAACAAACCGTGCTTCATCTAAAATAGTGACTTCATCACCGTCTTCAAGTTCGCGATGCTTGTTACGCCCAACGATTGCATCATTAATAAAAGTACCATTGCTGGATAGATCTTCCATTATCGCAACCGATCCTCCCTTTTTGTTTTCTGGGAAGATCAAGAAATGCCGATTAGATATAGTGGGGACGTTAATCACCAAGTCTGAATATATCGATGTCAGAGTCATACAATGTTATATTACGCTGTACGTTGCTACTTACCGCATTCCGGATGACGACCAATTAAGTAACCGCCGGGAGGATGACTCTTCGCTTGTTTGCCTTCTGATGATTTATCTTGCCGTCGAGTTGCCTTCCCAGTCTTGCCCTTAGACTTCGCATCCGCAAGGGCTTCACAACTATCACGCTTTCTCAGAACAAGTGGCCTCCGAACCTTTTCATCAAGCGGGATGAGGTAGCCCCATACCCCCTCAGCAGCCTCATCCTCGACTTCGTCGGCAAATGCTCTAGGTGGGTATACAAATTGTGATTGAGCCTGCGTATCACCAGGAGGAGACGAACATGTTTGGAGGGAATCTGAATTGAGCGGTGTTTGGCAGCGCACCTGGCTAGAATCACTAGGTGAAGCCGTGATATCTTTCGTAACGTCTGTCGTGGTTGAATTTTGTTGGGTCAGAGGCGTAGGTAAATAGGACTGATTCACCGGTGTAGTTTGAGATTGATCTTGGGCTGTGGTTCTCTGGGAGCGCCGCTGCTTTTTCAAATCTTGTGAATCGTGATCCGTGCTAACCTATATGATATTTGCATCTTCAGTGACTTTCAGTGGACCCGTTGGAGAAACACCCACCCTACTGCGTTTAAGAGAGCTCCTTTCGTTCTGTGGCACCATTCTGTTTTTGCTTTGTGTCCGCCTTAGGCTGCCAAATTTGTCATAAAGCAGCTGGCACGGTGATAAATCTGGGTAAGTGGTGGATACAAAGCGGAGCGATGCAAATCAGAGTGACGCAGAAGGGCTTGTTTCTTCTTTTACAGTGGTGCTTCTGACTACTGTAATGATGCTTTGGTTTAAGAAGGGAATAAAGGAGGAGGGAATTAAAAAAAGAAAACAAAAAAAAAAATTAGAAAAGGGGACCACGATATTTCAAGAAAACAAGTAGAAAGATTAGGAGGAGAAGATGAAGGAAAAGGTACAGGCGACTTCTTGTGGTCGTGAGTTTAACTCACGGCCGGCAGCTCAAGATTCGGAGTTCTGCGAGGAAGGTGCGCTAACGCGTATCTTTCAAACAAGTACTCTTCAGAGGTCATTTGTTGACAACAAGGGGTAGTAGCAATGCTTTCCATAGTGCTATCTACTGGCTACCTGAGACCCTATTTCTGATACAAGGACCGTAAAAAAAGAAGCTAATTCGAAGACGGAGGCTAACATCAATCTGTTTGGATAATTGAGATAGTTATACCCTGTAGGTACTAGGTACGGAGCATAGTCAGTCCATTCGATTAGCTAGGTCGCACTGCACTGGGCAAGTATACTTCGATGAGACAGGCCTTGATGTAACTTTATTACTTAACTTAACCCTTCTAATTCAGAAGTTTGACAGCCATATTTTCGAACCAGACATATTGTGTCATATAAGTTTCGCACAGGTGCTTGTAGTTCCTATCTATCTACTGGCTTGTACCATGACTTAGCCTTAAAACCCGAGGACCTAGGTCGGTCGTAATTTAGTTAGCCAGAAGCACGTAGGTAAGTTCGGCCTCCCACGTGGGTCCGGGGAGGTAACACGTACTATGTCCAGTCACAAGCTCCGAGAGCACTTTTTATTACTTGAATCGTCTGCCGTTCAGGGGCGTCTCGTACCTTTTCTCCCTTTCGCCTTTCACAAGTTGGGGGAAAACAATGAATTGATATATTTACACACTGTAATTCATATGAAGCTGTTGTTAGAATGGACGAGTGAGTCATGATCTCATCGCTCGGAAAGTCTTGCGCTGATTGGAATACAGATTCTCCGCATCAATCAGACCCTCCGCGTTGGGGAAGCTTGCAACGCTAGCAGTCAGATCACCGGAGAGTGACGAGAAATCAGACATTGCCCGCATCTCTAGACAGTTTCAACTAGAGTCTTCCCCGCGTGGTTTGAATGGCGTCTTACGAACTCAGGCGCCAACATCGCGGGTGCCTATGGTCCGTCGTCAACGCTTGCATCTCGTACATCAACCAGAAACACATAAACTGACTTTCGTAGGGCATCCGAGAACTAGATGTATTAATCGCATTATGTAAAGCTTCTTCTTCTGTGGATAAACCTGAGCATGCCTCTAGGTTGGTTGCACAGCTATCTCGGTACCTTCCTGAGGCCCACAGTCAGCTCTTCCGTCCTTCGCCTTTCCTGCATCACATAAAACCTTCCCCTTGGGAAGCACTCACCAACAATGTCACTTTGGCTCTTCTTTCATTGGGCTCCGAATCCCGATATCCATTACTGCGAGAGACTGTGCTCGATGCTGTTGATAAGTACCTGGAACACTGCGCCAAATCTGTTCAAGCTGCGACGCCTTTCACGCATTATGATTCAGGGGCAGACCATCCTGGCACGGCTCATGAGGCCGTCAGTATATTATCAATTACTGTTTCCCTGGTTGGCTTTCTGGAGGCCTCTACTAAGTTTGCTTCCTTCTGGACGGCCATCGAGAAATTGAGGATAATTGAGCATATGCGGTCAATACTGTCCGAGGGCTTTATGGTTGCTGTCGAGACAGCTTCCTCTATTATACGTAATGCAAATATGTCTGACAACATGCTCCGAGATTGGAGGAGGTACACTCGGCGTTATGCTGCCGATGGACGCCCTTTAGGAGCCATGCTGCTGCAAGAAGGATTTATGCGCTTTGTCAAAGCGTGTACAACGTCACTTGTCGGAGCACATAATATGTCAGAAGATGAATTGCTGGACGATTATATGAGTGGCGTTGGCATCGCCAGGAGCCACGATACAGATGAAATAGCTCTTATCAATCGTACAGCAGCGATCATCGATGATCAGATCAAGCTTCTAGAGGATGATTCTGATTATCTGCAGCTTGGTTCACACTTGCAGCAACGGCTGGCTTTCTCAGTGAAGGCGTTCGCCTTTATCGGGTATCTACATTGTGTTTTGAGTGGAAGGGCAAACAGTGAAGACTTCCTTTCTTGGTTAGAGAACACCTTGGTGGATCCAAATCAAATGTCATGCCTCGAGCTAGCAACGGCAACTTTGAAAAGCATAGCAATAGTTGCACGAATGTCACTAAACAGTGCTTCTTCCGGAAGCCGTTCTCTCTTGAGGTTCATTGTCGAAGGTGGCATTCCAACTGTGCCCACAGCTTCTGTTGCTGCGAAATGCCTTGCCCAAGTTCTTGGCGTTTTGTCACAAGACGCTGTTATCACGACTTTGTACTCACTTGGGAATGTTCTAAGTCCTGGCTCGGGCACCGAGAAGGCATATCATGGACAGTCCGTGGGAGATGTTCCTGGCCATAGCAATGCTTTTACCAGCTTCTCCCAAGCGAAGCAAGATAGTGAGGCCTCCCTTTCTGTCACTGGCGAGCAAGGCAGTGTACATTACAGAAACGTTATCCACGCTATCGTGACGATTGCTACCCATTCTAATGACGAAAAAATAAGCGCCTTAGCACAATCTATGTTGCTCCAAAAGATCGGGAAAGTCAGTGCTTCTGTTGATGCCTACATCATCAAGGAAACAGCTGCATTGTCTCTGAGCACAGCTCAAGGTGAATTTCAACTTCTTCTCAAATTCTACGACCGGGCCTACTGGGACGGGGTCACTAAGGGGTATAGCAACGTTGCCAACGCAGTAGAGAGCGCAATGGCCTACCTTTCTGTCACACTGCAGAGAAACAACCCACTTCACAGGACATATTTGACTCATTTACTAGAGAGTATCGTAAATAAGGGAGACGCGACGGATTTTGAGAATGAACGCCATAAAGACATAGCCTTCGCTCCTGACGATCTCAGTCCCCTTTTGAAACCACTAGCGTTGCTTGTCTCCGATCGAGTGGCTCCCAGGAACTGCACGGATATTACAGATTATGACCAGGATATATCTACTCTGTTTCGTGATGCCTGGTTCAATATTGCTGTTCACGGGATTTCACTTACCTCAGCCGTCGCTCGAACCCATATGAAGGAGCTGCGCATATTGGCAAAACATTCGCCGCCCCTTGTATCTGAAGACCGCATGGAAATGCTTGAAAGTGATGTGGAGCTTAATACAATTCTCAGGCGTGGCATGGGGCCACAGCGTCTCGTCGAACAGAAGAAGACCCTGATTACGGAGATACCCAGCCGCGAACCTGAGATCAAGCGTTTAAATTATCCAAAAGCAGTTTTCCTTAATGCGGCGTTGCTAGTCGAAAGCCTCCGTGCATCTTCTGGAAACTGCACTAAAGTTCTCAGTTACTTCCGGGACCCAGCTTTAACCACCGTCGAAATGGCGAGCTGCATGACTACGATTGCAGAGAAAGTGGTAAATACTTATGTCTCGCTGACGCTATCTGGTAGACACGAAGATTTTTCGGTCCCGTTCTTGTCGAAGGAACTGGGTGGTTTCTTTGTGGCTTGCTGTCACAGAGTAGAAAGAGTACAGAACGTTGCTGTACTCTGCGCCAATAAAATCATCCAAGAATGTCCATCGGCTCTATGCGAAAAAGACTCTCTCTTTGCTCTCCTCGAACTCTTGACAGTCATGTGCCAATCTTGCCTTGAAGAAGAACTCGATGAATTTGAGTGGAAACCCTCGTTCACTTCACCCACGGGAATAGTCAAAGTTGACTTACCTGATAACTATCACTTTAGAAGAAAAACTTTGGATGTGTTCCTTGAACGAGCTCGGGAATGGGTCACGGCCGCAATGGATATCGCCCCCCTAGATATTAAAGGTCTTCTTCAGGTATGTCCCAGCTCTGTTTTCTGAAGCACGTATCTCACTAGAAGCCAGACCTATTTATCCGCATCAGAAGACAGCAGTGGCTTTGGCAATATTTCTATGGGTAGATCGTTTGCACTTGATATGGGATCGCTCATCTCCAAAAGCGATCAGCGGCTGGGTAAGCTTAGCAGTGCATGGCCAAGACTTATTTCTGATGAATCTCATCCCTGCTTAGGATCAATTGAGCAATATGGGATCAATAGGGTCGACGTTGCTTCTGATTTCATGGCCCAGTATACTACACGCCAAAAATATCGATATCCGGATACGCAGTTGTCTAAATTTCTAGGATGGGGGAAAAGTCTGTGTATCCTTCTCAATTCAACAAGTTCATTGAGCTGATCAAACAAATGCAGGCCCCAGAATTGATGCGCCTGTGTTGCTTCAGCTGGAGTCAAACGACGCTGTCGAGACTAGGCTGTCCTACATATATGAACAGATTACCCTGGGAAATGAAGTTCCATTTCTGGAGGTTAGGGATGAATTGCGAAAGGCTGCCGCTCTCTTGTGTTGTGGCGGTGATCATCATCCTTCTATTCCACATTACCTCGTGTCTTTACCCTTTGAAATATTCTCGACGGAATCAATAAACCTCGGAATCTCTCTGTGGCTAGGAGCAATACATGAGAATCCAAGTGTGGAGCCCAAGATTCTAGTTGAGGTAGCTGAGGCTTGGGAGAAGACAATCTCGCGCAAGAAGGGTCTGTTCGACCCATCTTTTGAGTATGGTCCCTATTCTTGCATCTTGTACCATAACACTGACTTGTTGCAACTTAGTTACGTTGATCCGCTGTATGCAAAGATTGAGCTTCTGCCTACTGATAAGGCACTGATGCTACAAGAGCAACAAAAAGCCCACAAATTTCTCTCACCACATTCACATGTTCTCCAGTTCTTTGAGAGCCACTTCAGTGCAATTCAGCTAGGAAACCTACAAGATCAACAACTGTTTTGTCGCCTCGTTGGCAAGACTTCTGTTGGCCTCATGCAAACGAGCGGGCATCCCCTATCCCGCGAGCTTCACTTTCGTATCATTTTGTTTGGCCTTAGGGTCCTGAAGCATTTCAGTTCGGCAGACACGGCCTCTTCTTGGAAGCTTAAAGACCAACTTTTGTCCGCCGCCCTAGGTTGGTTTAGACATCCGCCTAGGTATGTTGTCAATTCCGTGCTGCTGAATCTAGTTCTCTAATATGTGCATCTGCAGGTGGTCCTTCGGAGGTAATCGATTGCAGATCAAAGCTGAAGATAAAGTCCTCAGTGATGTCGTGTCTGCTCTGGTTAATGTCTCCAATGTCGCTTGTCACACACTGGGATCTTATAGGTCACTGCAAGCTAAACAAGATCTGCTTCATACCCTTCTTGAAAACGAGAGGTCACGTCTGAAGGTTTGGCTGTATCCTCTGGATCAAGAACGTAAACATTACATGCCTCAGTCTTCTGGGAACAGGAATTTGATGGAGGTTCGTTGGCCTTACGGGCAACACCCACCCCGTTCTCCTTTCCCAAGCCCTTCCAAAATATATGTCTAATTTTGCGCTAGGAGGCCACTTCTTTGTTACGGCTTGCTTGGGCTGAGCATCCAGGTTTGGCCATTCAACTTGGTGCTCGTTTCCCATCTGTAAAGCTGAAGAATGATATCCGTTGGCTATTGCTCAACTTCCCGGAAAAGGTTATCGATGAACCCAGTAGCCTTGAAATTATGCTCGGTGCAACTCTTCCTGCAGATATCTCATTTCAGTTGAAGGTATGGTTATGTGCATACTCGATTGATTTATTTCAATTCAAGGCTGATTTTAACAGTATTTGCTTTACTGGGCCCCCGTGAATCCTACTGAAGCTCTAACATATTTCTTACCTGCTTATGGAAATCACCCATTCATCCTGCAGTACGCGATGAAAGCATTGGAAAGTCATCCCATTGACGTTCGCTTCTATTTTGTTCCACAGTTGATCCAGGCTCTACGATACGATGCGTTAGGTTACGTTGAGCGCTATATCATGGAAACAGCTAAGCAATCTCAATTATTTGCACACCAGGTGATTTGGAATATGAAAGCCAATTCGTTCAAAGACGAGGATTCTCAGATTGTGAGTGAAGCGGCCCTTAGCTGGGACGATTTGCTAACGTATGGAAAACAGCCGGATCCACTCAAGCCAACCCTGGACAAGTTCATGGACTCTCTCATTGCCAGCTTCACGCACGAGGAACGCGATTTCTACGAAAGGGAATTCTCCTTCTTCAATGATATCACAGGTATTTCAGGGAAGCTCCGGCCGTACATCAAAAGAAGTAAACCCGAGAAGAAAGAAAAGATTGAGGAAGAGCTTCGCAAAATCAAAGTGGAAGTTGGTGTTTACCTCCCTAGCAATCCCGATGGCGTTGTTGTCGGCATTGATCGCAAGTCAGGAAAACCACTCCAAAGCCACGCAAAAGCGCCATACATGGCGACTTTCAGAATTCAAAAGACGAGGACTCGAGTTGATCCAGGCGGCCTCATAAGTTCTTCAGGGCAACACACCTTGACTCAGGACCAAGAAGCTCGTTCGGACTCGGAGCAGGAGACCTACGAGGTTTGGCAGTCGGCAATTTTTAAAGTCGGTGACGACTGCCGCCAGGACATGTTAGCCCTGCAGATGATTGCTGCTTTCCGGAGTATCTTTGGTAGTGTCGGGCTTGACGTTTGGGTATTCCCCTACCGCGTAACTTCGACAGCTCCCGGATGTGGTGTGATTGATGTCCTCCCTAATTCAATTTCTCGTGACATGCTGGGCCGTGAAGCAGTGAACGGGCTCTATGATTATTTCGTTTCTAAGTATGGCGGAGAGGACTCTATTAAATTCCAGGAAGCACGTACCAATTTTGTCAAGAGCATGGCAGCCTATTCTGTTATATCCTACCTTCTACAGTTCAAGGATCGTCACAACGGGAACATCATGGTTGATGATGCTGGCCACATTATACACATCGACTTTGGGTTCTGCTTCGATATTGCACCTGGAGGCGTTCGCTTCGAGCGCGCACCGTTCAAACTCACTTCTGAAATGGTTGCCGTGATGAGCGGTACTCAACACACACATGCTCATGCCTCCGGGGGTAGTTCTTACAACCCTACAAGCACGCAACCATATCGGTGGTTCGAATCCTTGGTTGTGAAGGCGTTCCTTGCATCCCGCCCCTACAGTGCCAAATTAGCTCACATTGTCTCCTTGATGCTTGATAGTGGCTTACCCTGTTTCAAGCCTGATACACTGAAGAATTTCCGGGACCGATTTGTTCTGGAGAAGAGCGAGAGAGATGCGGCTGAATTTATGCGGGAGCTTGTCCGCAAATCCTACATGAGTGTCTCTACTAAAGGTTACGATCAATTTCAGCTGTTGACGAATGGCATCCCTTACTAGATCGGGCGCCGTATTTACATTCGACCCCTTTCTTTGATTTCGTCTATACCAATACTGTCTTTTAGGGCTTTTCGTTTCGTTCTGAAAGACAAAGAGGGGGGAGTGGGAAAGTGCTTTTTTGCAGAAAAGGGATATATACTACGTAGTTAGTATATATTTATTTAGATTATTGAATTTTGTATCTGACTAACATCTCAACCCCCTTGAAAACTGTAATGTATTAAGGCACAGATCATTCAATTATTGCAGTCTCTTTTCATGAATGTCCTGAGGAGACAGCAGGTCACAGGGAGATTCCGATGAAGCATCCACAATGTCGCTGGCCTTTTACCATAATATTACTTACCATTCTCTGCGTGCTCCAGATTGCTCCTTTCGCTCGACAGACATTGTTTCTATCTAGCCATTGATGTTGGTTTCGCTCTCCTTTCCGGCGTCCACTTTAGATGGCATTTTTCCTATGCAGAATTAATTACGTAATCCATGGCGTCATTGTGAAAAGACGACCTGGAAGAATGGCCGGGATGTCGATGGCATACATTTGCATTATGATCTCATACAGGCTTATTTCAAAAGAGTATCAGAACAGGCATAATACCCTAGTCTCCAAGCTACTAACCGCTATGACATACATTCAAATGGAACCCGAGGAAGGCCATTACACTTTTAGCGCAATAATGTCACTATGCAGCCCATACTTCATTTCATTGAGCAATGGCTTAACTATAGTTGAGAAGTGTTCTGAACAAGAACAACAAAAATACAAACAAATCGAATGAAAAAAGAAAGAAAAGAAAAGAAAAACAAATGATGTAAATAGAACAATGTGTGTCGTTGCAGTCATTTACGACCCGACAACCATTTTAGAACGACCTAGTGTTGTTTCAACCGTCTGGCTATGTCGCCAGTGCAATGAACATGAAGTCTGACAAGCACCTTCAAAAGGAGAAAAAAACGAAAGATAAACATACGCTAAATCAACAATATGATCACTACCCGGTATACAATATGATTCGTATCGAAATTTGACTAAAATGTGTCACCATTTTGAATCCCTCGCCTCGCTTCTCCCTCTTTTCATGTTCCCACCCCTCCCTTAATGACTAGTGGTAAGATAGCCCGGAGCTGACTGCGACATCGACTTCGATATCTTTCGTTCCGTAGATAACCCGGATGGATGTATCATGAGAAGGGCAGCCAGCTGACTGAATAGTCGATCATAACGCCTTGCAAATGCAGAATCGAAAGTACCACAGTGATTGAATGCAGTAGTTTCTTTCTCATGTCCATTTCTGTCTTAGATTCTTCCCTCGTCCGTCTCTCGTTCATTTCAGTCATTGATCCTCACCCTTGGTGAGAGGAGATGAAGTGCTAGACAGGAACGAAGAGGTAGAAAACACTAGTACGCGTTCCTAGTCCATGAAGTCTCCACGGAGTATTTTCTCCTGAAAGAAGTCCGGCTTATTTTGCCGGGGTTGCTTGGGCATCTCCCGGGCTGGTTGTTCCATTGAAGCAATGGAGGCCGCCCGCTGATGCTGCCCAGACTGAACCGTGTTTGTTGTATGCTGTCCGTGAGGTGCATTTAAGGAATTGCTTCCAATCGATGGGGCACGCTCGGCACGAGTCCGAAGAGCTTCGGACCAATTGAAGCCTTCGCCTAGTGGTCGCCAAGACTGGTTAGATCTATCGTTCTTAGAAATCACTTTATGTGTACTTGCAGCTATTGAACCAGCGGTGGTATTGACAGAAGTGCTGCTGACTAGTGACGCATTTGAGCGCCCTCCAGCCACGGGTGACTTGGGAGAGGGATATCTACCATTGCCTGTGCTTCCTCCGCGGACATCTCGCAATGCTTGTGCGCCAAAGGAAACCCTTCGTGCGAACGGAGAGCTCGGTGTGACGCTAGGAGGGCCATTCTCATTATCCTCTATGACCGCGTCCTCGAGGCTCGCGGGGTTGGATCCCACAGAGCTGGACACACTACCATGCCGCAAGTTTCTTCCCCCAAACGGTGAAGTCTGGGTTGGTGAGCCTGAAAGACCTAGCGTGGTAATGGATAGCCGTCGCCCATGGTGCGACTGTGCGTTGGCTACGGCACTAGCCATTGGACCCGTTGGAACGCTTGAGGTGGTCCCCTGATTCCCGGGTTTCGTCAGATAATCAGCCAAGCCAAGGCCTGACGCCAAGGAAGCTCGACGTTGTCGCGATGGTGGAGGAACAGAGATGGGAGAAGTCGAACGATCGCCTGACATTCTATTAAGACCTGGGTGAACAACCCCGTAGGATTATTCGACAGAGTTGATGATTTGGGATGGAGGGTGTCGGATATGGTTGACGGGCTAACTGAGCACTTATCCGGGCAGGACGCCCCCCTATCCCACAAGTGTGGAGATAGAAGAATCGAAATATTCAATGTTAACCGTAAATTGACGCTACTGGTTTGTGCTCAGGGTATCTATCATACAAGGTATGACGTCAAACCCTCAAAGACAACTGACAAGGAGAGAGCAACGCAGAAGAGGAGAAGTGAGGCCCGGTAGTGCACACACAGGTCTGTTAGGGGTGGATCAGTCAGCCAGGTATGTCACACAAAGGCAATGGAATATGGATAGATGCAACAGTAGTGGTGGCAAGAACGATACTAGTAGGGAAAGATGCCGAAGCCGCCGCAGTTGGCAGAGCCACCACCAAGAAGGGATACGGGGTGCTATTAATAACCCAGACAAGAAACGGAAGGAAGTAGAGGGGAAGACAAGCTAAGGGATGCGGAAAGAGCGGGTTTTTCATACCTTATGATCGACCAGCTAGCTGCAGAGGTAGAGTGGAGAGCTCCAGTGAAGGGGCCGGGAGCATGGATGGGATTCAATCGATTTTCTCTTGGCACAAAACTCGCCGGTGTATGGAATGAACTTTCAGGATGTGGAGAAGACGCTAGCTCTAAGGAGGGCTACCACAAAAAGACCTCCCAGGGATCTGCCATGCCACGAGCTCCTAGTGGCTACCTTTACCAGGGAATAATTCACCGATACAGTAGTATTCTATAGGTAGAATAAGGTGACGGTTAGTGGGGATAAGAAAGGGACGGAAGATTAGGAGGAGGAAAGAAAGGGAAAAGAAATCTTCTTCATTCGAGTCAAGAGAAGGAAAGATGAGATGAAGAATGAATGTCCTGTACGGTAAGGTTTAGGTAACTTTACCCCACGATTGACCGCGGGCCAGAACCGGTCTAGCCTCCTTGGGGTTGGATCCGGGGAAACTCGATGATTCATCTCCCAGCCATGATTGATGAGGTCAATGGCCCAGGATGCAGTGGTTAAGAACTCGTAACAGAACCACAACTTGGGAGGGGGGAAAGAAAAACTGGAAAGGTCTGGCGAACAGTTTAAGCATTAGAATCTACGCAGTGTCTATCGATCGATCAACTTTTCTATCAATCTGTCCGTTTTTGACCCACACCGATCACATGTTAGTCTGCCTTATTTTACTACTTGCAGTTAAAGGGGGGGGGGTTAATGTCCTGGTTTCAGCTGAGGAAATTAAATGAAAAGGGAGCCAGGACTCCATTATTCTGTTGGCACTTACTCATGTTCTTATCCATATTCAAGGGTAGCTAACAATAGCTTGAATTGTATTCACAGCAGCCCCTCTTCCCCATGCTTCTCATGTATGTCCATAAAAACTTGGCAAACAAAGTTTATCGTGACAATTGATTTATTCCCTTTTACCTCTCTATCGGTGACCTCACTCCTAAAGGAGGGGTTCCATATAGCTCCTCTCCATACCGCACTACAAGACAAAACAATACTTAAAGTATATATAAAGTATAACATAGGTGTCTTTTTGGCATACCCTTGCCTGCTACCCCAAACAGCACAAACGAAGGATACGGATAGCTCTTATTAGCCATGTACCACACCTTTTTTCCCCCTATTATTCTTCTACCTTCATCTAAAGAGGGGAAAGGTAAAAGCAAATAAATAATATATAGCAAAAAGAAAACCATACACACGTATTGATTCGTTTATAGAGAAGACTCTAGAGTTAAACTGTGAGATCCTGGGCATCAATCTACACGCCTCTGCTTCTCTTTCTTCCTCTTCGCCTCACCCGGGGTAAGGTGTGTGGAATAGCTGCACAAGCCTCTCCCCTACAGCCGGCTCAATCTCTGTGCCATCTCGGGCGATTTTGATTTCTCGGTTTGCGTTCCAAGGGTTCCGCAAACCTCGTGTGCGGTAGAAAGGGACTCGTTCTGTCGAAAGCCATTGGATCCGGAACGGCTTCCCTATAGATTGGAACCCCGACTCTGATACCTCCTCGGCTACGTCTGCAACGCTCTTATCAATCTTGTTTCCGCCTTCATCTTCTGATGAGTCTGCTTCCCAGAACACTGTTCCCCGCACAATATCATTGATGATCCGTCCATTTGGGGCGGTGGACGTCGCTAGAGTTGGTGTCAAATCCAAGTCCTCGGGCTCGGCCTGGATGTGGTTAGGGCGAGGCAGCATCTCCATATTCAAGCCGTCGTCCTCTTGGATTGGTGACACCATCCGAGCGTACCCATAATACTCGCCAGACTTGTTGGCCGAAAAGACAAGGTAGACATTATCAGCAGTCTAGTTTCTATTTGTATTAACTCAAGGTACTCTCCTCTCTGTGTCGCCTTCCACCTTTGTTTGGATTTTGAGACTCACCTGATAGGCCTGGTTCAAGGTGCCCTCGTTATGCGCCTGCGTTGCCCAGATCCCACTTTGTCTACTTAGCTCGAGGTCATCCATAGATAGGCTTTTGACAATGAAATATCTGTTTGGCATCCGAGGCCTTGAATATTTGCTATCAGCTATCTTTTCCACCAACATATTTCCAACCTGCTCGTTGTGTATAGCGACAGCACCGTTATCAGCTTGAGATGAACAGCATGATGAATCGGGCTGCGGAGCAGGAGACATCGAATCCCGACGCAGTCGACAGACGAGACGTGCTCCATGGAACCTGGTGTCGTGGAATCTTGATAGTGCTGCAAGGCACGCCACCTCCGTCTTATAATTAACAAAGGCACAGTTGCTTTTCGATATGAGAAAGACACTTTCGACATCTTTAGTGGCATCCCGTGCGAAGTAGTCTTTCAGTTCATTAATGTCTGTCCCAGGGGGTAGATTGCCAACCCATAAAGCATTACCAGATTGCTTTGGCTTCCTTGGGGGTCCTCGCGGTGCTATGGTGCTGGTAGAATTGATTGGGTGTGAGGCTGCATCTACCAAACGAATGTCAGCCTATGATAATAAAGGTGGATCATGAGCCATTGATTCTGCCGCATAATTATTCCTTTTCTGCTTACCCATTGCAGAAGGCTGAGCTTGCCTGGATCTCATGGGAGTTGACCCGTCCACAATAGTCTTTGAGACGTCATAGCCCGACTCTGAAGTACGTGACATGGGCCTTTTTGAAAGGTTTGCTGATGTTTTAGAAGAGTTCTCTTGAGTATTGTGGGATGCACGATGTGGATGTAAGTGGATTGTCACATTCGCTTGAACTGCACTCTGCCCATGAGATGCCGCATATGTAAGAGGGGGATAATAAGTTTGCTCGTATCTGGCTGGCGGGATTCCCAAGTGCGCTGGTGAGCTGTAACCTAGCGGCTGATACCCTGTATGCTGAGGTGGTATATGTTGTTGTTGTTGTTGTTGTTGTTGTTGTTGTTGTTGTTGTTGTTGTTGTTGTTGTTGTTGTTGTTGTTGTTGTTGTTGTTGTTGTTGTTGCTGCTGCTGCTGTTGCTCGTGTGAGTGAAGTGAATATGCTTGAGGGAATAGGTTATTGAAATGCATATTCATATTTGGTGTCGTCTCGGGGAACAATGGTAAAGGGTGCATTGATGAGTATACCACTCCATGACCAGGCCCTGTAGGGACAAAGTGCTGCGACATCACACGCCGGTCAAAAACAACATTGGGGGCTTGGTAACCGGGTAGTGCGGACCTCATGCCGCTCATACTCAGCGTCGCAAAGGGTAATCCATTATGTCTCACATAAGTAGTATCTTCAGGATGATGATGTATATTATGTGGTCGAGAATCCTGGAAGAATCCAGTGTCTGTACGATGCCAGCTTTAATATGGAGTTTTTCCGTTGCTCGGTAACTAATGACTATAACAGGTGGTACTTACCGGACTTTTGAGTTGCTGTTGCCGATGAGTTGGCCTTATTAGGGTTTGACGATGGGCTACCTGGTGTTGCCTTTGCTGGTTTCGAATCGCCTGAAGAAGCATTATCTGCGGTGTTCGTCATGACAGGATCTAGAGTACCAGAAACACAGTGCAAAAGTAAGCCTCCAAGCAGTTAGTCGACTATCAACAGTACATAGTGCCAGCTCTCCAGTATAGAAAGGAAACTACAGCACATACCTTCCTCTCCAAAGTTCTTTTACCTGTGTGCAATCGTACTTGATGCTGTAGTAGCACTCACTGCAGCGACAGTGATATGTACATGCGTTAGAAAATGCCGTGGCCTCTGCAAAGTAACTTTCAAAAATCTCTTCAATGTGAAGCAGTTGGATGGATAGAAGAAGGACGCTGATAAATAGGGGCGTATGGACTCCAGGAGAAACTGGAAAAGAGGGAGAAAAAGAGAGAGAAGAAAAAGGAAACGATATACACAATATAGATAGAACAGGAAGGGCGGGTATAGGAGGAGGAGGGGTAGGGCTATTCAGGAAGAGATGGAGATGAAGAGAAAAGGAAAGTATACACTGGATACTTTGGGTGAGGCAAATTGGAATATGATTCCTAGCCCAACGGGCACAGCGGGAGTGGGAGGGGATCGAGAGCAGTTATTGAAGAGATACCCAAGCTGACAGCCTAGCGGTTGTACTGAGGATTTCTCGGATGGTACGATATTGTAATAGGAGGTTTCGACTGTGGAAATGGGCGTAAGTAGAGTCAAAATGTACGCACACGCACATGCCCAGTAGTATGGGCCCTCCTCCCTAATCTCCCCTCCCAAACAAACCCTTAATCATAGGATAATCTTCATTATGAATGATTGGGGAATGGTGAGTGGCTAGAAGTAGGCGAGGGAATAGATTTGCCATAAGAATTCCAGAGGGAGGCTATAGGCCACAGGCATAGAGCAGATGAGGCTCAGGCGAGAGCAGAAACCAGAAAAAGCGATACTCAGAGGGTGATGCTCGTGCTAGTGGCAGCATCCCAGAAGTGAGAAGACAATGGCAGCAAACATACGGTAAGAAGTGGATGATGGATAGAGCTTAGTGGCTTTTGGATCACGCCAAAAGGGGAAGAGAGCAGCCAGGAATGGCTCGTCTTCTTGGCTCTCATCTCTAGTGCGACAGGGAAGAGGGTGAAAAACAACAACAATAAGAATGGTACAACGGGAGGACCAAATATGGTTGTCTGGTCGTTGAGCTGAATACACCGACAAGGATGACGATATTTCTTGGATAACTTTGGGCAGGGTAAATGATGAATGCTGGGGAAACGAAGGGATAAAGTCGCCGGTAGCATAGAACAAGAAGCCTTCTCACCTTATGTTTCTTACTTTTGTTCTGTTTGATTCTTTTGGCCCCCCTCTTCACAGGGCAGCAGGACTGAATGACTGACGGTGGAAACGATTCTGGTTCTGTAGATCGATCACCACTGTATAGACAGAAAAGATATACGAAAAAATGAGTAATAGATGGAAGATTGCTATCTCGTCAACAAGAACTCCTAATCTCCAATCGACAAATGAGTGGATCAGACAATTAAGTTCGGTTTTAGAACTGTGGGTGTGGTTTGGCTTCTTTCGTAAACGTACACCCACTAAAACTGAGGCGGTAAACTAGGCATGAAGAGAAGGGACGAGGGATAAATAATGAGTCCGGAAAGAGAACCCTCCACACTCAGTATAGTCCGTAGAAGATCACTGTCAAAATGTGGATAAGACTTCCGGTGTGGAAAGAGATGGGGCACTTGGAGACGTGTTCGTCTGGGCTCATATAGAGGACTAGTAATATATCGGTAAGAGGGGAACTGTACAGTGGCGGCCAGACAGCTAACGGGACAACGAATCCAGTGATCTGCAGAATATTCGCTGCCGTTTCTTCGATATCTTCCGGGCTTGCCCTCTATCTACCCTACCTTTTGGTGTTTGTGGCGGTGGCCGTGTCTTGTGAGGTAGTATCCACAGGCGAAGCTTCACCTCAAAATGCGAGTGTTTTCAAATACCACAGGAGAAGATATAACCTGATTCGTGAGCTGAAGTTTCCAAAAAGGGCCAAGATTAGGCAGATGTTAATGACAGTAAATCGTAGGATATTTGATCAAATTGAAGCAAAAATCGGGACACAATGTTTGAGATCTTTCACCTGAGTGGAAAGATCCGTGACGGGTCCAGTATTATTGAAGTATAAATCACAGATATCGAGAAATATGATTGAAAAAGGCCATTTGTCAAGAATGGCCTCACAAGATCCAAACAATGGTTTATTTCTATAGAAGGGCAAAGAAAAATGTGAAAAAATAAATAAATAAATAGAACAAGGAAGAAGAGAAAAATATGGTGGAAAGGCATGGTTTAGTCAATCACGAAAAGAACCTACAAGCGCGAAAAGGCATGAAATGCAATAATCATCCCAATGACTGGGTTCTCTCACTGATGATTGGGTGCCGTTGGCATATCCCCTGACCCAGTGGGAACGATGGATCCATGGTCGCTTCAACAGCTTGAAAACGTCGAGTCAAATTTCAAGGGCTGGAGGCTTGGGCCTAGTGGGTGCAATTTCATCGAACACGAATATACACCGGTGGCAAATGCTCAGGAGGTAGAGCTGACATCCATTGACTGGGTGCCGATCACATCTGAATCGATAGGTATGAGGCAATGGGTCTATGTGGATGTGATCATGGCTGAAAGAAGTATACGCAGTGGTAAAATGGTAGCAGAAGTATATTGATCTACACACAGAAGCCAACAAGAGTCATGCAACGGCGTGACTACATCCAACAATATGGTTAGTTAAGGATTTAGGGGTCCCGGCCTTCCGATGCCTGACTGGCACCAATAAGTGGCGAGGATCGGCGTATTAAAGGACTCGATCGTCAGTGGACACCATGATCAATGCATGAGCTGTGGCTTCATACATATTCTACACGGTAGAGCATCTGACAATCACATAGACGTGATGTAGGATAATAATGAGATCATATCTGCCATTGTGATTGAAGAGATAGGAAACATTTTTGATGATGTCTATCAGATGTGAGGGACGGGATGAAGAGAGATGGACTGACCTGCAGAGTACTGCCATCTGAGTCTCGATTCTGGTCATGAGTACACCAGCAGTGGGGGCAAGTCATCAGCGTCATAACCCTCCCGATGATTGTGGGAATTCTAAAAAGAGAACGAGAGGGCCAACCAAGGAGAATTGTGGGCGGGGGGGGGAGGGGAGGGAATAAGATAAAAAAAAAATTCTTATGAAAAACGAGATCAAAATGAAAAATCCCCACCTGGAGGAAGACGAATTAGTTGATCATAGCCTAAGACGGAAGGCCATCAGAATCATAACGGCAGGGGGGTACATTCCCACTAGGGCCCGATCTCCATGCTGCCCAGTGAAAACAATGGAAGATTCTGATGGGCTTCGAGACACGGTAGTTGGTCCACTGTCGGATGTAGACGTGGCGCTGGGGGCGCAACACCAACAGCACCACTTTTATCATTTCGGTCTTCCCCTTCTCGGCGCGTGTTTTCTGAGAGGAAGAGGGTCATCTATGATCTACCTGCAAGCCCATTATTTCCACAGTCATGATCCAGCAAATGGGATTGTGTAGGACCAAAGGAAATATTGTGTATAAAACTCGATGGAGTTAGCCTTAATCAGACAGCCTCTTCAGGTGGCGTTGGGAAAACGAACCACTAGTCCAAGCCAGATAAAGTGTAACTCCCCATCAATAGCGAGATTCCATAGCATCCACTTCCCCCTAAAAGGAAATGAAAGAACTGAAGTGAACTGAACTGAAATGAAAAGAACAGAGAAGAACAGAGAAGAAAAAGGGTAGCAGTACTCCATCGTAAGCTTCAAGCCCGCCTCTTAAACGCCGAGGGAATTCAACGTACCAAGGCCCCACCTAGCTATTTACTTATCGGGTACTACGCCTGGCCACTGAGCATAGGTCCTTCTAAGTTTATTATCAAATCTCGTTCATTGGGCTGTGCCACCCTTCACGCTCCAAACAAAAGTGAGAAGAATAATAGAAAGAGAGCATTTTAAAATAAATCGATTTATAAAGGCGGGATAAAGTACTATGTATCTAATTTGAGCCCATCCTTCCTACCATCCATATAACAGAGGTCCACCTGACGGGATGAGATCCCAGCCAATCAATAATTGACTCAATGAACTTCATCTCATCTTTTCTGGGCCAAAAGGGACTGTAGGCCTCGATATACAGTGGATAGTATACCCCCGTGCTTAGGTACTGCACAATGGGCAGTAGTAAGGATAGTAGGCCCGGCCAGGCACCAACTTGAAGTATACCAAGTCAACACTATCTGGTTATAAATGGATATAATCATAATCATTGTACAGGCGATCTGACAGTCAGACTTGTCCTATAGATAAACCGGGCACTGTCTAACCCCCTTGACTCACAATTCATCCACCACAATCAGAAGGTAAAATACTGCGCAGTATCAATGGGGACCACACCTGGCAATTTTACATCTCCTGGGACTAACATCCACTCAGGTTGTAGGGAGA